AGGCCGACAACTGGCTACGTTTACCATTAGCCGGGGTCGAGCCTGTACACACTGACCACTACGTCTCCTCCAGTTGCTGAGTCTGGTAGAGTAGCTGCGTCGGGTCAGGTGTTTGCTGCAGCGTCCAGGTCTGGTCCTGAGTCTGCCCCCTGTTCGTGTCGTCTCCTGTCTCACGAGACTCTCCTCTGGCACCACCGCCTTGGTCACCCCTCTCGGCTTCGGCTCAGAGGCATGGTCTCCCGTCTTCTTGTTTCTAATCTCCCCCGGTCCCTCCCTCCCCTTCCTCAGGGCCCTGGCCCTACCTGTGTCCCCTGTGTCGAGGGGCGCCAGCGGGCTGCCCCTCACTCCTCCCAGTTTCTTCCGACAGAGGCCCCGTTGCAGACGCTTCACATGGACGTGTGGGGCCCAGCCCGCGTCCGTGGACAGGGTCACGAGCGCTACTTCCTGCTCGTTGTTGACGACTACTCGCGTTACACCGCAGTCTTCCCCTTGCGCAGCAAGGGTGATGTCACTGAGGTGCTGATCGACTGGATCCGCGCAGCTAGTCTCCAGCTCAAGCAGAGCTTTGGCTCGGACTTTCCTGTTCTGCGTATGCACTCGGACACAGGCGGAGAGTTTTCCTCTGGCCTTTTGAGAGCCTACTGTCGCGCACGAGGCATCCGTCAGACCTTCACGCTTCCGGACTCCCCGCAGCAAAATGGGATTGCTGAGCGCCGCATTGGCATGGTCATGGACGTCGCTCGTACGTCTATGATGCATGCGGTTGCTACCCATTTTCTGTGGCCGTTTGCGGTGAGGTACGCGGCGCATCAGATCAACCTACACCCCAGCGTCTCCACGCCGGAGACCTCCCCAGCCTTACTGTGGACGGGGAAGGTTGGCGATGCGTCGGCGTTCCGGGTCTGGGGATCTCGGGCGTTTGTCCGCGACGTGTCTGCGGACAAGCTGTCCCCTCGTGCTGCTCCCTGCGTCTTCCTGGGGTTCCCCCCCGACGCGCCTGGGTGGCAGTTCTACCACCCCACCTCTCGCCGTGTTCTGTCCTCCCAGGACGTCATGTTTGACGAGTCGGTCCCCTACTACCGCCTCTTCCCCTACCGCACTCCGTCCCTCCCCCCGCCGCCGCTCTTCCTTGTACCAGGTCCCCCTCCGGTAGACCCGCTCCCCCCTCAGGGTCCGTCCTCTTCAGGTGTGTCCCAGGTAGACGCAGTCAAGCCTGTCAAGGTCACTGGTGACTCTGGTGCTGCTGAGGGTGCTGAGCCTGGGGGTGCTGACTCTGGGGGTGCTGAGCCTGGGGGTGATGGGCGTGGGGGTGCTGAGCCTGGGGGTGCTGAGCCTGGGGGTGCTGAGTCTGGGGGTGCTGAGCCTGGGGGTGCTGAGCCTGGGGGTGCTTTGCCTGGGGGTGCTACACCTGGGGGTACTGAGCCTGGGGGTGCTGAGCTTGGAGGTGCTCCGCCTGGAGGTTCTCCGGGGGCTTCGTCTCTGCGGGAGCCACTCTCTCCATAGGAGCTGCGCGAGTGGTTTGCCCGGCGCTGGAGCCGTGCTGCTGGTACTGGAGGTTCCTCGGTTACTTAGGGTGCTGCTTTCGCGGGTCCCGAAGGTGCTCGTACTGGGAGTACTGGAGCTGCTGGGCCTGCGGGTTCGACTGGAGCTGGTGCTACTGAGGGTGTTGGCGTTGAGACTACTACTGGAGGTCCTACTGCGGGTACTCCTAGTGCTGCTGGAGGTTCTGGAGCTGCTGGAGGTGCAGCTGGAGCGGGTGCTCCTGCTGAGGGTACTGGTGCTGTACCTGCTGTGTCTGGCGTCGCCGCGCGGCCTCGACTGTACTTCGTTTCACTCTTGCAGCAGGTTCTTGGTCTTCCGCCTTCTACTGGACCTCCTCCTTCTTTAGAGTGTCCACAGCCTGTCCAGTCACAGGTACATTTACAGCCTACCTCCCCTTTGCCTGCTCCTTCTCCCTACACTGTTCCTACTGGAGGTCTTGCTGAGCGTCGGGAGCCTGCGTCTCGCCCTACGTCGCCTGTCCGTGCTGCTCGCGCTAGTGGTCGTGGTTCGCGTCCGCGTCCTCCTCCTGTCCCTGGCACGCACAGGATGTCTCTGCGTCCGTCCACTGCTCCTCTGCGTGCCCCTTTGCCTTCTCCTCCTGAGTCCTCTCTTCCTGCTCTTGCCGACCCGGAGTCGGACTCTCTTCGTGCTGCCAGTCCTACTGTCACGCGTCTCCTTGCTACTGTCGTCACTGACCCTTCTTTCGAGTCCACTGCTGCGTCTGCCCTAGTTGCTGAGCTCGTCGACTTTGCTGCTCGTTGTCGCCTAGACTACACTGCTAGTCTTGTCGCTGAGTCAGAGTCTGTCTGTCCTCCGTCCGTCGGGGGTGAGTGTGCCCTTGGCACGGACGTCCTTGAGGACAGGCAGGAGGAGTTAAAGTGTCTGGCAGCTGCTTCACCTCATCTCGTGTCCGTACTCCTTACCCTTGAGGGAGACCCGGATGCACTTGACATCCCGACTCCGCGCTCCTACGCAGAGGCGATAGAGGGTCCCTACTCCTCTCAGTGGCAGGCAGCTATGGATGCAGAGATGGCTTCCTGGAAGTCCACAGGCACCTATGTTGACGAGGTTCCCCCGCCTGGGGCGAACATCGTCAGTGGCATGTGGATCTTCAGGGTGAAGCGGCCGCCGGGTTCTCCGCCTGTCTTCAAGGCACGTTACGTGGCTCGTGGCTTCAGTCAGCGGCAGGGAGTTGACTACTTTCAGACCTTCGCCCCCACCCCAAAGATGACCACTCTTCGGCTACTGCTGCACGTTGCTGCTCATCGTGACTACGAGCTGCACTCTCTCGACTTCAGCACTGCTTTCTTACAGGGCAGCCTGCACGAGGAGATTTGGCTGCGCCGCCCACCTGGCTTCACTGGGTCTTTCCCTCCTGGTACCCAGTGGAGTCTCCGGCGTCCAGTCTACGGTCTCCGCCAGGCGCCACGTGAGTGGCACGACACACTGAGGACTACACTTGCGGCTCTTGGGTTTGCTCCGTCTACTGCCGACCCGTCGCTGTTTCTGCGCACCGACACCTCTCTGCCGCCGTTCTACATCCTCCTGTACGTCGACGACTTGGTATTTGCCACAGCTGACTCTGCTAGACTCGCCTACGTGAAGTCCGAGCTGCAGAAGAGACACACGTGCACAGACCTGGGCGAACTGCGCAGCTACCTTGGCTTGCAGATCACCCGGGACAGAGCACGGGGCACCATTACTCTGACTCAGTCACACATGGTGCAGCAGGTCCTTCAGCGCTTCGGCTTCACGTACTCCTCGCCTCAGGCCACTCCTCTGCCTACTCGCCACTCACTCTTTGCTCTGCCTTCGGATGAGTCCATAGAGTCGAGAGGCCCGTATCCAGAGCTTGTTGGCTTCCTCATGTACCTGATGACCCGCACACGACCTGACCTTGCATACCCTCTTAGCATTCTCGCACGCTATGTTGCTCCTGGGAGACACCGACCAGAGCACATGGCTGCAGCGAAGAGGGTGTTGCGCTACTTGTGCAGTACGTCGGGCATGGGGCTAGTGCTTGGAGGGCGCAGTCCAGTGGTCCTCACTGGGCACGCTGACGCTTCTTGGGCTGACGACCAGGCTACGCAGCGATCGTCACAGGGTTACACCTTCAGCCTTGGTTCCGGCTCTGTCTTCTGTTCTCGGCTCCAGTTGTGAGGCTGAGATCTACGCTGGGGCCATGGCTGCATAGGAGCTTCGCTGGCTCACCTACCTGCTGACTGACCTCGGAGAGCCGCCTCGTTCTCCTCCAGTGCTGTATGTAGACAACAAGGCCATGCTGGCCTTGTGTCGAGAGCAGCGACTGGAGCACAGAACAAAGCACATTGCTCTCCGCTACTTCCTTGCTCGTGAGCTACAGCAGCGTGGACAGTTACGGCTTGCGTACGTGGCCTCTGAGGCCAACACTGCTGATGTTTTCACCAAGGCACTTCCGCCTTGTGATCATCAGCGCTTCTGCACTCAGCTGGGTCTTGTCCCTGTCTTGCCTCACTTGCTCACCTCTTGACCTTGGTTGTACTGTTACATATATATATACTTGCTCTTGCTTGTCTAGCCTTATATTTATATGTACTCCTGCATGTGAACTGGCCTTGTGGCCTTGAACTTGTGCTCGGAATGTGTGGTGACATTGTGATCCACCCTGAGCTTGCTTTGCTTTGCTCTGCTTGACTGGTCTTGTGACCCCTTGTTCTCCCCCACTTTGCCTATAGGGGTGTGTCAGAACATTATAGCTTATGATTTTGTGTAGGCTGTAGTGGAGTAGCCCATATGGGGTACAACCCAATTAGGGTTAGTACTTGCACCCAACTCTTTCATAGTTCAATCATTCTTGTTTCTTCTCACAGCTGACTACTTGACCAAGACACTCGGAAAGCAGAAGTTCGAATACTGCATGTTGCTGACTGGACAGAGCCACGTCAGCGACACTCCAGAAGCGAAGGGGAGCGTTGGAAACAATCGGTCCTAAAGCGCTTCTATCGTGTCGAAACACCAAGGCACAAGCGAAGCAGATCATATCGAGGCACCAGCGAGTCAACCCTCGGAGGTTGAAGTAACCGCTGGAGGTTACATGAAAGTCAAAGGTCAGCGACTTTTGACCTGACAAAGGCAGCGCGACAGCAAGGACACACAACTGACTCGAGATTGAGCACTTGCCCGAGTCGCACTGTATCAAACCGCAACAGCCAGACAGTTATCATTCATATCTCTTCGTATTCCTCGTACTCTTATATACGGTAAGCCTTTGTACTTGTTTGTTTTTATCAACTTACTTTGCCCTCACATACCAGCGCAAGGTGGTTCAGAATCTTCTCTTAAACGCTTCCGCTACCACATCACTCTACCCAGAGATTTACCCTACCAAAGATCCTAAGGGCCTTCTCAGCCCAACACATGGCAGGATAAAAAAGTGCACACATGAGAAAATGGTTGTGGGGGGGCTGGCATTACTCGCATTACAAATGCGCTTCCATTGGCGGGAGGATGGGAGAAATACAGATAAACCATGGTTCGTAACTGATAGGCGCAAATGTTGAGAAGGTGTGAGCCGGACTCCAGGCACACACCACTGCAGCGCACCTGCTTGTGCACACAGCCACACATGCAGGGGAGCAGAGGGGGGAGCGCGCATGAGCAGAGAGGGATGGGCACAGGGAGTGCAGGTGAAGCAGGGGGGTGGCAGTGATGGCACAGAGAGCAGCGGTGTGAGGTGCAGGGTGGAGCAGGAGCGGGCATGAAGGCAGCACTCACCTGGCAGGCAGCACGAGGCAGAACGTGGCAGTGCATGCCTTGCACGTCCCTGGCCTTCTCCCCCTCGTGCTGCTGGTCACTGTGCAGTGCACGCCGCCCCTTTGGTGACGCCACAGTCCATGCTGCCCACCAGCACCGCCGCCACCCGCACACCCTGCACAGCACAACCACACACCACAGGGGGGTGGACGGGGGGAGAGAGAGGACATGTAAGAGGTGACGGTGTTGCAGTGGCATGAGATAGAGCGGGGAGGCACCCACAAGTGCAAGGGACAGGAGCATGGGAAGAAGTGCACCCATGGTCCCCCAATCACCCATGGTCCCCCAATCGCCTGCCCAGCTTGTGCCTGTGTGCCCATTGCCAGTGGGGCCCCAACACACAAGCGGAGGCACAGGGTGCAGAGAGTTCATGAAGAGAATTTGTGATTCAAGTACCAGTCGCAGCGTCGCTTTCCCGTGACCCTCATGGTCTCCCTTCTTCCCTCTGCCGTGTATGCCCCCCTCCCTTCTCCTCCCTTGTACGTCAACTGCCCCCTGCGTACATCACATGCGGTGGACAGTGGAAGGATGCGAGGGTGGGGCGGTGGGAGTGGGCAGTGTGGTGCGGCACAGGCAACGCCACGCGCACCAGCACCCTCACCCACACTCACTGCCTGTCGCCCCGCACATATGCCGCCCTAGCACCATGGCATGTGCATGGGCATGGGCATGGGGATGGACATGCCGCATGGATCATGGGGGAGCGGAGGGCAGGGGGGGCGAGGGGCAGAGAGTAAGAGGAGCGGGTGGTGGAACCCATGGGGTCTTTGAGTCAAGTCAAGCACAGTGTGCTGACATACTGTGATCGTGCACTCACACACAACACCAGCACCTGCTGCTGTTCCTGGTGTCGCTAGCTTATCCCATGCCGCTCATGTCACCCCATGTCTGTTAAGTGTTAGCCCTCAATCTCACGCTTTGTATTTTGTACTTTCTATATCCTAGCGTAGTGTAGTTTGCACATTGTGTTTGATTGGGTGTACACCCACATCACAACCAAAGTCAAATGTGACCTCCAAGCAATCGCCAACCCACCAATTGGAGATTGCCTTGGGATTACCCCCAATCCCTAGACATTGTCCCCGATTCCCCTCCCCATCCATTCCTTGCTCATCCTGGATGTATTTTAGGAGCTTCGAGCTCATAACTAATGTACGGATTCCAAGCTCAAGTTCTGACAATGTCTCCTCCTTTCCCGCCTCTCCTGCCCTCACTTCCCTCCCATCCCTCCTTTCCCATGCACTCCCCTGTGCGCACGTCACCTGGCGGCTGCTGTGGCGCAGGTGGGCGGTGCCGAGTTGGCGCTGGGGGGGGGGGAGCGCGTGCATGGCGGGCAGCAGCATTGGCAAGGGTGCGCGCGCTGGGGTGGAGGTGGTGCATCGCAGACGCCACGGGCGAGAGCAGAGACGCGAGCAGCGCAGGGGGCGTGCGCAGCAAGAGGTGGCCCAGAGGGACGTGGGCCCATGTGCTGTGTGGTGCGCTGCTCAGGTGCGCGGGGGAGTCAATGGCGCACGGGGGTGAAGGGAGCGGGGAGGGGCCCGGGCGCGGAAGGAAGAGGGGGAGGAAGGGCGGGGGAAAAGGAAGGGATAAAGCGGAAAGGAGAGCGGGGGTGAGGGGGAGTGCGCAGGAGGGAGAGGGCGCAGGGGTTGGAGGGCATGGGGCGGGGTGAGCGCACATGCAAGGGATGCAAGGGCATGGCGCGACGGCCCCCAGCAGGGGCAGGCGCATGGAATGGGGCGACGGGGAGAAGACGAGGATGAACATGGGAAGGCGTATGGCTGGTGGGAAAGGGGTGGGGAGGTTCACATTGTAAGGGCGGGGAGGTAGAGAGCCATGGGAAAGCAAAGAACAGCGCAGAAGAGGCCAGAATGGAGGAGGAAATGGGAGGGGAAACGGTGGAGAGAGTTGGCATGAGTGAGCGAGGCGAGGGAGAATGGTGGAAGGGGCTGGGAAGGGTGGCGTGCAGGAGTGGTGCAGCAGCGAGCATGGAGGGCCATGACATGAGCGCAGCAGCGTGCTGCATCCCGTCCCACCCTCAGGCACACGCATGTCCCACAGTCCCATTCACCCTCATATACCCCTCTCACACCCCCCTCACACCCCCCTCACACCCCCCCACTCACGGGCCCCGTCCAAAGAGTCCCCAACGAACCTGCAGGGGAGGTGCAGCGAGGCGCCCTGCACGGCGCGGCACTGCAGCGGAGCAGGCGCAAGAGCGGTGGCGCCTGCGAGGGGTGCTCCAGCAGTCGCCCTGCTGGCACACGGCACGCATGGCATGCGCAGGGAGCAGCGCGCACCGTGCAGAGGAGGGCGCGCCGCACACTCATAGTGCAGGCGATGGGAAGCTGAGGGGAGGCGAGAGGAGGGGAGGGGAGGGGAGGGGAGGGGAGGGGAAGGGAGGGGAGGGGAGGGGAGGGGAGGGGAGGGGAGGGGAGGGGGCAGCATGAGGAGTGCGAGGCGGAGGCGCACGCCCCGTGCACATGCGGCTGTGCGTCGCATGCTGCCACCGGCACCGTCATCATCCCCCCCTCCTCCCCATCTCCGCACCCCCTTTCTGCCTCACGCAGGTCGCCCCCCAGCGTGACCCCTGTCCCCCTTTGCGCCGGCGCAGCAGCAGAGGAGGCTTGGGGGCGGGCGGGGGGGAGACGTTGGTGGCGGTGACGGGCTGCACGCGGGCAGCAGGCGCGCCCGCCATGACTGCTGCGCGCACGGCGGAAGGGATGCAGCGAGGGAGGAAGGGGAGAGGTAGTGAGGGAAGCGCGTGTAGTAAGAGGAGGGGGTGGGGGGGAAAGTTGAGCAGGGGAGTGCAATACGGGGACCCCCCCGGCCCGCTAACGGGTGGGCAAACGGCCATGGCGGCGTGGCGGCGTTGGGGGAGCTGCCACGCGCGCTACGAGGCGATGCGCGGCGAGGAGGGAGGGCGGGACATGGAAGTCTTATCCCAGTGCAGGGGGCGGGAGAGGGAGCTGCATCAAATGCACGCACTCACATCGCATTTCTTCTCAACGGTGAAGGGAACAAGCGCAACAGCGGAGCGCTCGGGTACAGACCGTTGGCCCAGCCAGTGGTGGCGCATTGAGCAGCCCCAAGCTCACGTGTCCACCACCCGCACCGCCGCCACGCGCCGTGCCTTCCTCGCCGTCTCGCCGGGCTCGGTCAGCGCGCTTCGGAAATGGGGCGCGACTGTCAGCCGAACCGCAACGTTCGCAGCAAGCAGCACTGGCAGCGCCGCGACGCTCAGTGTGGTGGAGAAACGCGGCATGGCGTCGCGCCACGGAGGAGGCGGCTGCGGGCGATCCGCGCGACGATTAATGCGATGAATTTGGGTCGGTGCGCGACACAATGAGGGTCTCACGCGAAGCATGGCGGAGTGGATGTGAGGGAGAGCGGGTGATCGCTTTGCACACATGAGCGCGAGGCGAGCAGCGGGAGCCTTGACGTGCGGTCCGTCATTTTCGTGGCGGCGCGTGGCCGCACTCTGCGTGCTGCGTTGTCTGTCCGTGTCGTCCGCGAACATGTTCCGTGTACAAGTGAGCAGTCATGCAAGTGGTGCTAGCCAAGGTTGGGTAGGTACGCATCGGTACCACAATGTTCGGGCGTGATGGAAATCGTACCGAGTTTGTACTTGCAAAACCTTGGTGATAGGCGTTACACCTTGTAAGCTACTGCTATTCTACACTGACAGGGCCATGCATGATGCATGCAAGCAACATGTTGGTAGCGAGGCTACATTGCTTTAGTCGTACACAGGTAGGCGTCTTTTGAGGTGAACCCACCTGTGGCAGCATCATCTGTTTCCCCCCGCACTGCACAGGTAAGCCCCCCAGCTGTGATGCCTTGTTGTTTTCCATGCCATGCGGCAGCAATGGGTAGTGCAGGCGTGGATGGTGATGAAGTCACCTCCACCTCACCACAAGCCGTGCCTCCACGCCACCCCTCTCCACGCTGCTCTGCGCTGCAGCAGTGTCACAGCAGGGTCACGGTTTGAAGGCTGGTGAGCACGGGAGTGGCAAGCATGGTGGCGCACGGCCACTAGCACTGCAAGGCAGCATGGAGGGCGCGCTGTGCCACTGCCATGCCTCGCTGCAGCAACCTCTTGTACCCCACGCGCCACATCACCGCCAGCACCGCCTTCTGCTGCTCCTCCTCCTCCGCTGCTGTCCTCACCCCCTCCCCATGCGCATCACAGCCGCCTTCTTTATCCTCTATCCCCACTCCCTCAGTGCCAGAACCAGCACCACGTGCACACCCCTTCCCTCCCACTCCTGCACCCTCCATCGTCCTTTGCGCGCCCTCCCCCTTGCTCCCCCCTCCTTCCCTGAGGCATGAGAGCAGCGCCTCGTCCTGCTGCACCGTGCTGGGCAGCGCCGCCAGCAGCCGCTCACACTCGCCACCCACCCACCGCTGCACCGCCACCTCACCCTCCTCTGACACCGCCGAACCAGACAGCGCCACGTGGCGCACCCGCCTGCGCAGGCGGTAGGGCGTGGTCCACACGCGCAGCAGCGCCAGCAGCAGGAAGGACGGCGTGCCGTCCGCTTGCAGGCACAAGGGGGGCGGAGTGGTGTGAGCGGCGGAGGAGCAGGGGGGAGGAGGAGGAGGGAGGGGGATGCCGAGTTGGTGGGGGTCGCAGGGGGGGTGCATGGGGATGCAGTCGTGCGGATTGGAGGGCAGCAGGAAGCCATAGTGCAGCAGCAGGTGCAGGTTGCTGTAGCAGCCGTAGCAGATCACCACCTGTCGGGGAGGGGGTGGGGAAGGCAGGGGAGAGGAAGGCAGAGGGAAAGGAGGGGCGGTGTTGGGCTGGAGAGAGGTACGTGTGAAGCACCACACGGAAGGCAAGGGGAGAGGAATGCTTGTGGTAAACGGCAGCAGAACAGGGTGCGTATTGCATGATGCACTGCAACAGTGGCATGGCGATTAGCATGGCACAACAGCGGCACGTGCAGTGCCGTGGCACCCTCTCACCTGCTCGCCCGCCTCGAATCGCCTGCGTGCGAATATGTGGTACGCCTGGGCCTCCTCGCTGTACCCACCATCTGTCACGCGATCACAGGCGTCTGCCGCACGATCACAGGCGTGTGTCACGCCATTGTATGCTTGGGTCACAAGATCACAGGAGTCTGTGCCTGCATCCGAGGCAAGTGCTGCAGCATGGGGAGTGGCGTGCATGGCGGCATGATGGGTGGCAGTGATGCGAGCACAGGTGGGCGGTGCAGTGGTGGCGTGGTTGCCACTCAACGCCACACGGTGCATGTCGGAGGTGCAGTCACTGAGTGCTGCTGCATCCCGCATGCACTCTGGGTCACATGCTCCAGCTGATACTGCTTCACCTACTGTGCTGTCATCTGTGTGTGCTGTGCTGGCATCTGTGTGTGCTGTGCTGGCATCTGTGTGTGCTGTGCTGCCATCCACGTCCCCAGGCATGTGAGAGCAACAAGGTTGAGCGGGCAATGGTGACGGGGAAGGGGGCAGCGCGGGTGGTGCGGGGGGAGAAGCAGCAGCAGCAGCAGGAGCAGTGGGGGAGAGCGGTTCGTAGTTGAGGAGGTCCGCCACCGGGCACAGCGCGCCCGCCTCGTCCCACGGCACGTACAGCGTGCGCGATGACACCTGCACGTGGGGGGGGGCACGGCGCATGGCACGGGGAGAGAAGGGAGGAGCAGAGGCAGACGGAGGGCGAGAGGGGGTGGTGCCGTGAACAGCCGCACACAAGCACCTGGGCAGTTGGGCGAGTGGTGTGAGTGGCATACAAGCATGGTATGGCATGTGCATTACAGCAGCACAACGCACGCTGTGCACAAGCTGACACAGCACAAGGCCATAACAAGCTGACGACTGCATGTGCATCACACCGCACACACCGCCATGCCATGGCCTCTGATCACGCCCCATGCCCCACCCACCCACCGTGCAGTGCCCCACCCACCGTGCAGTGCCCCCACGACCATGCGGGCCACGACAGCCACTTGCCCGGCACGGCCATGGCTCGCAGCAGCGCCCTCGCCTCCCGCCACTCACCCCTCACCGCCGCCACTGCTGCCTGCGCCTCCGCCACCGCCTCTGCCACCTGGGAGTGGGCGGCACAGGGAAAGGAGGGGGGTGAAGGAGAGGAGGTGGGAAGGAAGGGGGTGGGAAGGAGAGGGGGTGGGAAGGAAGGGGGTGGGAAGGAAAGGGGGTGGCAAGGAGAGGGGGTGAGAGCCGGGAGGAAGGAGATGCAGAAGAGGAGAGGGAGAGAAGGGCAGGAGGAAGTGAAGGGTGCGGTCCAAGGAGTGAAGTTGTGACGGGGTCAAAGGGGAAGACGCTGGACTGCCGGATGGCATGCGTGGTGTGTGTGCGTGGATAAGAGTGCGCGAACATGGGCGTGTGTGCGGTGCATGTGGAGGTGGGCACGTGAGCGAGGGCGTGGCAAGGCGGCCCATGGTTCAGGGTTTGAGGCTTAGGGTGCGACGAGGTGATGCCCACCTGCAGCATGGCCATGTGGTGTGGGGTGAAGCGCGAGAGCAGTGAGTAGCAGCGCGGCAGGCAGCGCAGGTATGCATGCCAGGGCGAGCGCGCTCCCTGTGACGCCTGCAGCAGCACGTAGCACACGAGCAGCTGCGCACACAGGGGAACAGGGGGGCACGTGCATCAACACGTGATGCGAGTGAAGGGACAGGTGGAGAGGCAGGAGGAGAATTCTCTGGGATACAGGTGTCACCTGGTGGGACGACAGGTGTGCGAATGCAGGCAGCAACGGCGCCATGGCAGGGCATGCCCTGACGTCGGCGCATGAGAGCATGGCGTGCCGTGGCACGTGCAGCACCACCTCCCCCGGCTCTATCGCGCGCACTGCTGCCAGCCCGCGCCTGCCACCACGGGGCGCGCGGAATGGGGGGGCAAAGGGGGTGGGGGGAGTGGAGGGACGGGGAGGGGACAAGGGGTGGAGGCGGGGTGGTAAAAGCGGACGAGTTATGGTAGGCGGAAGGAGATGGCAAGACGCAGGGCGCCGTGCGGCGGAACACGCCACTCAAGGCCGCGTCAACCCTCGCTACGGAGTGCGCCCACACCCAGTCCACCGCTCCCTCACCCGCTCACCACTACCGCCCGCCCAGCACCCGATCTCCGCGCATCGGCGCGCTGCAAGGCGGGGCAACGGCGACAGACAGCGCGCGTACCCTCCGCCGTCGCTGAAGTGCGCCACGCGCAGGGTGGCCCCCAAACATACGCGCGCTTCGTTACCCTCTCCGCACTCGCCGGCATAGGCGGAAGAATTCTCCCCCTCTCTCCCGCCAGTGTAGCTGTCGGTGATGCCGCGCGTTGCCGCCCAACAGAGCATTGCTTGGAGGTCAGTGGAGAGCGCGGACGGGTCTGCGGTGCGGGGGAGCGAGGGGAGTGCAGCAGGCGACATGATGCGAGGCGACGGTGCGGCTCGAAGGTGTCAACCTCTACGATTTCCACCGCTACAGCTCCATGTGGCTCAAACGAACTCTCAACGGTTTTAAAACCCGCGTCTCATATTTTCTAGTGTATTACCAGAGTCTCACAGGTTTCGAAGTTGGACGAGGTTAAAGTCGAGAATCGATCGCCTCAGGTTCGTCTTTTAGCGCGGTTATAAACGGTTGTGTACATTTCGTATGCAAAACGCGGTGTTCAGTGTCACTTTTTCTCTTTCTGACCGTCTGGACGGCTCACAGTCCGGACTTTTTTAGGGTTACCGACTTCGGCATAGTCCGTTAATGAATCAGAGACGAGGCGAGAATTCCCGAAAACAGTAATCCGACAAAAGTCTGGACGATGGGCCGTCCGGACGGTCACAAATGGAAAAAGTTGCAGGCCCTAAGAAGGTTGGTTGGGGAGGAGCAGCAACTGGCTCGCGAACTAGTGAAGTGTCGAAATAGGAAGTCGAGGGTCGTTGAGTGATGTAGTGGTCGCGAGAGTTTCCAGGGTGCTGTTCGCCAGCAAATCGAAGTTTTGAATGAAAAAGATGGCATCGGCATCGCGACCGCATCCGGAAATGGAGGCGGAACCCACCTCCAAGGTTAGGGCGTAATGCCACTCAAGAAACTTCTGTTCCCGAAAAGCGAAATTACGCAACCGCTTCGGGAACCTCCATCCCCACCTTCCCCCCAAGGGCTTTGAACGGCAATACCGTCACCATGCCATCGCTGTCCTCCCTGAAGGGGGGGATGGCGATGGCATATCAGGGAGGGAATTTTTGCCTGGGGGGCGCAATTGCGTCCCCGCTTCCAGATGCCATCACACAGTTCGAATTGGTTGTGAAGTGGGGGCGTTCGCCAGGACTCCTGTTGGTTTTCGGTTCGGACGGAATATGAGGCTCGGCAGCAATTTTACGGGCTGACCCTGGCTGACGGAGATGAACGAACCCTAACTGACGGGATCAGGAAGGAGCGACTGACCTTTCTGATCCCGTCACTATCCCGTCAGTTTATCTATGAGTGGTGCTGGCGAACAGCCCCCAGATCTCAAATGCAACTCGTGAACCATTAAGGGTAAGTAGCTTTCGCAGGGGTACTACTAGCGACCCTGCGCTTTCAAGGGGACTACAGTGCTAATTGCGGGCACTTTTCGCCCCTCCGCCACTCCGACAGGAAAGTTATGGCGTGGGCCCAATCGGGTTTGATCGTCTCGATCAGCCGCGATTAATAGTTTCTAGGAAGCCTGTGTCATAACATTATAGCTTATACGTTTGTGTAGGCTGTAGTGGGGTAGCCCATAAAGGGTACAACCCAATTAGGGTTAGTACTTGTACCCTACTCTTTCATAGTTCATTCATCCATTCTCACTTCTCGTCATGGTATCGAGCAGGTTCCCGGGTGGGAATACTGCCTAGGGACCACCACGAACTTTTTTTTTTTCCTTCCCTGCCCGGAGCACGCTTCGCTCCTAACCCGAGTAGCGCCTTGAGCCGCCTTAGTGGCCCCCGTTGGCCGCCCTTACGACCTCTCGAGCCGCCTTCTATGGCCCCGTCTGGCCCCTTACGACCCCATCGCGGCCCCGCTTAGGCCCCTCACGGCCCCGTCGCGGCCCCGCTTAGGCCCCTTACGGCCTCGTCGCGGCCGCGCTTAGGCCCCTCACGGCCTCGTCGCGGCCCCGCTTAGGCCCCTTACGGCCCCGTCGCGGCCCCGCTTAGGCCCCTCACGGCCCAGTCGCGGCCCCACTTAAGCCCCTCACAGCCCCGTCGCGGCCCCGCTTAGGCCCCTTACGGCCCCGTAGCGGCCCCGCTTAGGCCCCTTACGGCCTCGTCGCAACCCCGCTTAGGCCCCGTCTTGCCTCGCTACGGCCCCGCTACGACCCCGCTACGACCCCCCTTAGGCCCCGCTACGGCCCCGCTATGGCCCCTTTACGGCCCCGTCGCCACCTGCGGCCCCGTCGCCCACTGCGGCCCCGTCGCCACCTGCGGCCCCGTCGACACCTGCGGCCCCACACACCCTTGCGGCCCCGTCGCCCACCGCGGCCCCGTCGCCACCTGCGGCCCCGACCACCCTTGCGGCCCGCCGCCACCTAAGGCCCCGCCACCACCTTCGGCCTCGCCACCACCTGCGACCCCGCCGCCCAGCGCCCACAGCGCCGAGTAGCCGAACCGAAGGCCAGCTGAGCCGCCCGACAGCCCGACCGCCGAGCCGCCCATCAACCGAGCCGCCCGACCGCCGAGCCGCCCAGCAACCGAGCCGCCCAGCAGCCGAGCCGCCCAGCAGACGAACCGCCCGACAGCCGAGCCGCCCAGCACCGTGCAGCCGAGCCGCCCAGCAGCCGAGCCGCCGAGAAGCCCGATCGCCCCACCTGCCTGGTAAGAGCACAGTCTCTGCCACTGCACTGCCCTGCCCCACTGTGCTCACTGCATGCCTACCGCTGTTATGGCTTCCCCTAGCGTTCTCACCATTGACGCTGGGGGTCAGGCACTGGACTTTGAGGTCTGGGTAGATGATCTGCAACTTTTCCTGCAGTGCGATAGGGCAGACGGCCTCTCGCTGTTTGACCTCACTTCTGGTGCCTCCCCTACCCCTGCTCCTGATGCTAACGCCACTGTTCGCTCAAAGTGGGCCACACGTGATGCTACTGCTCGCCTTGCTGTGGGCCGCCACTTCCGGACCACTGAGCGTGCACACTTAAGCCAGTACAAGAGTTCTCAGACCCTGTACAACGCTGTAGTTGCACGCTACTCTTCCCCTGCCACTGCTGCACTGAGCCGCCTCATGCTACCGTACCTCTTCCCTAACCTTGCTGCCTTTCTCACAGTCGCTAACCTCATTACGCACCTCCGCACTAGTGACACTCGCTACCGCGCTGCGCTTCCTGCTGAGTTCTGCGCCAAGAACCCCCCCCCCCAATGTACATCACCCTCTACTACATAGTCACCCAGCTCCCTGACTCTCTTCGCGTAGTCAGGGACCAATTCCTCTCCGTTTGCCCCACCACTCTCACCTTTGACCTCCTCGAGAAGGCCCTCCTAGCGATCGAGAAGAGCATAGTCGCTGTAGGAGCCTCTCGTGGTGACCCTCGCACCCCCGTCTTTGAGGGGTGTTCTCCCTTCCCCCTCTTGCCCTCTTTTGCCACTGCTGCTGTGGCCGACCTCGTTGGTTTCGAGTCGGTCGGCGCTGCGTCTGCCCCGAGCGGGAGACGCCGCACCGGCAAGGGCAAGGGGGGCAAGGGCACTGGAGGGGCTGGAGGGGGCGGTCGAGGTGGTGGTGGAGGCGGTGGAGGGAGTGGGGGTGGTGGTAGGAATAGTGCCGGGGGTGGCGGCGGCGGCGGCAGCAGTGGAGGCGGCAGAGGCGGTGGAGGTGGCGGAGGGAGCGGAGGCGGCGGAGGTAGTGGAGGAGGCGGAGGTGGACGAGGCGGCGGAGGCGGCGGTGGTGGAGCGAGTCGCGACTCAGCGCAGAGGAGTGGCGCCGGTGGTGGTCAGCGCCAGCAGCAGCAGCGGAGTGGTGTCAGCCTGTCCCCTCAGCAACTTCGTGAGTGGTACACTGCACGCCAGCGCGGTGGGGGTTTTGGTCCCTGCTCTTACGTTCTCCGTACGGGCGACCGCACTGGTGAGCAGTGCGGAGGCCCGCACTCCACCTAGCGTTGCTTTGGTCGCCTGACGGACGCGTGGCGTTGCCAGTTCCCTGAGGCGTCAGAGATCCCTCGCTGGGGAGATCTGGCTAAGGCCGGGGTTGCTATCTTTGACTTTGATGCTATTCTTGCTGCCATGTATGCTGTTGCTGATAGTGTTGAGGGTGCTGGTTACCTGTGTGTACCGCCTGACCCGGGCATTGAGGCTGCTGCGCTAGGTGCTGGTGAGGCTGCTGCTCTAGGTGCTAGTGCGTCTGCTGCCCAAGGTGCCAGTGCGTCTGCCGCCCCAAGTGCTGGTGAGTCTGCTCTCTCATGTACCATGTCGGCTCAGGCCTTCCACACCTTCACCCTGGACTCGGGTGTGTCCCGCTCCTTCTTTCGAGACCGCACCACTCTTACGCCGCTTAGTCGGCCGGTTGCAGTCTCCCTGGCAGACCCTTCTGGGGGTCCTATCCTTGCTAGCTTCTCCACTGTACTTCCGTGCCCGGCAGCCCCCTCTGGCACCCTGTCTGGTCTCTACCTCCCATCGATCTCTACTTACTTGGTGAGTGGAGCGGACCTACAGGATCGAGAGGTTGACCAGTTCACTCCTGCGAGTCAGCGAGTGACCCACTACATGTGTGCTCGGACAGGCCGACACTTAGCCACGTTCACACGTCGGCCAGGGTCAAGCCTGTACACCCTAACTGCTGAGTCTCCTCCTACTGCTGAGTCTGCCCAGGTAGCTGCGTCGAGTCAGGTGTTTGCTGCGGCGTCCAGGTCTGGTCCTAAATCTGCCCCCTGCTCGTGTCGTCTGCTGTCCCACCAGACTCTCCTTTGGCTCCACCGCCTTGGTCACCCCTCCTTGCCTTGCTCCGAGGCATGGCCTCCCGTGTCCTTGTCTCTGGTCTTCCTCGGTCTCTCCCTCCCCTTCCTCCGGGGCCTGGCCCTACCTGCGTCCCTTGCGTCGAGGGGCGACAGCGCGCCGCCCCTCACTCCTCTGAGTTTCCTCCAACAGAGGCTCCGCTGCAGACTCTACACATGGACGTGTGGGGCCCAGCCCGCATCATTGGGCAAGGGAGAGAGTGGTACTTTCTGCTGGTCGTTGACGACTACTCGCGTTACACCACAGTCTTCCCCTTGCGAAGCAAGGGTGACATCACTGAGGTGTTGATCGACTAGATCCGCGCAGCTCGTCTCCAGCTCAGAGCGAGTTTCGGCTCCAACTTTCTTGTTCTTCGTCTCCACTCGGACAGAGGCGGGGAGTTTTCCTCTGCCCGTCTGGGAGCCTTCTGTCGTGCAGAGGGCATCTGCCAGACCTTCACGCTTCCGGCCTCTCCACAACAAAATGGGATTGCT